GCATGTACAACTTTGTATTTAATACAGAAAAATGTATTTTCTAATTTTGTAAAATATGTCTTAGCTTTTCTGAAAACAGCTGGTGGTTAGAGGAATCTAACCTGCAGTCTTTAGTGAATGGTAACACCTCCTTCTGCCTGAGGGCTAATTACTTGATACTGTAGATTTAATTATTAATGTGACTTCTGACTTAAAATTCTGAGGCATGAGTGTGTGTTCATCTTTGTTCCTGTTGGGTTTCTGTAACAGGGGAGACTATCGCACAGGCAAGCGACTGAACATGCGGAAGATCATTCCATACATTGCCAGTCAGTTCCGAAAAGACAGGATTTGGCTTCGAAGGACCAAGCCCAGTAAACGGCAGTATCAGATTTGTTTGGCTATTGATGACTCTTCCAGCATGGTGGACAACCACACCAAACAGGTGAGGAGGAAGGAGAGTGAAAACCAAGCCAGGGTCCAAGTTGTATCAGTGTGGCCGGGCAGGAAGGATGTGGTGACTCCGCCTAGGAGAGTGTGTTCTTTAGGGCCTAAAGGGCAGCTCCATGATGCTGCAAATATTTTATCCCCTACTGTTTTTATGCTGAACAAATCTGGCTGTGTTTATTTTCTATAAAATGCAGAAATGTATTAAACTATTAAGATTGCATATCACAGGGTTTCTGAAACCATTGTCTATTTGGTTTCTAGGAGATGCTTTTTTTGTTGTTGTTTTGTTTTTGTTTTTCGAGACAGGGTTTCTCTGTATTGTTTTGGAGGCTATCGGTCCAGCCCAGCCTCGAACTCACAGAGATCCGCCTGCCTCTGCCTCCCGAGTGCTGGGATTAAAGGCGTGTGCCACCACCGCCCGGCGAGATGCTATTTATTTTAAGTGATGTTATTATTTGGTATAAGCCAACAACTGACCTAATATGGATGCTGTCCTGGAAAAACTTAGAAAGTAACCTTTGAGTGTGGTTCACATCCCACCTCCCCATAACTTGAGGCAGCCTGTTGTCAGTTTTACTTTCTGGGGATTATAACAGTAGCTACCTCAGTGACGAAGATTAAATTAAGTAATGTGTATTTAAACTAGTTTAGTGCATTCTTTACTAATTTGTTCTAAAACTGTGCTGTCATTTATATGGGTGGTAATAAGATTTTTCAGTTTTGTTTTTTATTTTCTTACAGTTCTGCATGTCTTTATATCTAGGCTCTGTGTTGGGTTGGTTTGGGGATGTAGAAGACAAAAGAATTAAATCAATTCTGGCCCAGAAATTGAAAAATAAATGAAGGAGGGTTTGTTTTTAAAACTTTAAGTTTGGATTCATTTCAGTTACAAAGGCTAATTAGCTATCCTGTACAGTTTTTCATCTGTCCTGTCTTTAAAGTTCTGTCAGTATATAAAACCCTCACTAACTTACTTACTAACCTGAAATTTAGAATCTACAAATTGGCAACCTTAAAACATTTTCTCTAAACAAAGATGTGTTCTAGTAGCTTTTTTTTTTTTTTTTTTTTAATGGAGACAGGGTTTCTCTGTGTAGCTCTGGCTGTCCAGGAACTCACTCTGTAGCCCATGCTGGCCTTGAACTCACAGAGATCCACCACCTGCCTCTGCCTCCTCAGTGCTGAGATTAGAGATGCGTGCCGCCACCACCCAGCACTATTAACCATTTTTAAATGAATAAAAATTTACTTCTTATGCTTCAGTTTCATGGTGAGCTAGATTTTTACCTTCTTTATGTAGACAGGAATATTATTTCCAAAATATGAATATTTTGTGTCAGGGGATTTCAGGTTATCTGGCTGACTTGATGCTTGTAATTCCTTTGGGCCATCTTCAAACTGCACAGGGTCTTGGAGCAGTGAAGTACAAAAGGAAACACTAAGCACAACTCTTTCCCTTTCACTCAGGGGAAAGGAAGAGTAGGAAATGGAGGCGTCTTCAGATCACTTAGGAAAATACAAGATGCCCCCTCCCTTCTCAGTTTTCCTTTCTCAAAGCCCATTTTTCCCCAGCACTCTAAGACATCGTGTTACATTCTAGGGGTCTTGATTAGGTTCATGTTCTCTGAATTAAAAGGCAGGAAAACCTCAAGGGCAACAGATGGCAGCAGAGAAATCTCAAGCTTCACAGACAAAATCAGCATTGGAGGGAAGGTGCTTACTGGGGGGCAGGGCGGGTGAAGAAACATGCACGCTGACTCAGAGAAAAAGACCCTGACTCAAAGTCTTTAAAACCCTGGTAATAACATTTCTAACTCAGTTCTGTAGTCTGACTCTACTGCATGAGAATGAAGAAACATGCACGCTGACTCAGAGAAAAAGACCCTGACTCAGAAAGTCTTTAAAACCCTGGTAATAACATTTCTAACTCAGTTCTGTAGTCTGACTCTACTGCATGAGAATGAAGAAACATGCACGCTGACTCAGAGAAAAAGACCCTGACTCAGAAAGTCTTTAAAACCCTGGTAATAACATTTCTAACTCAGTTCTGTAGTCTGACTCTACTGCATGAGAATGAAGAAACATGCACGCTGACTCAGAGAAAAAGACCCTGACTCAAAGTCTTTAAAACCCTGGTAATAACATTTCTAACTCAGTTCTGTAGTCTGACTCTACTGCATGAGAATGAATTGAGATTTTAGTTACATATAAAAGATTTTATGAGCCGGACAGTGGTGGTGCACACCTTTAATCCCAACACTCAGGAGGCAGAGGCAGGCGGATCTCTGTGAGTTCGAGGCCAATCTATTCTACAGAGTAAGTTCCAGGATAGGTTCCAAAGCTACACAGAGAAACCCTGTCAGGGTTGGGGGGGCAGTATGTAGGCTCTGCCATGGAAAGAAAATGTGCATATTTCTCAGTAGTATCCAGAACAAAACCAATCCTATCGGTGTAATGCATTTAAGTTGAAGCATCAGCATGGAGGAGGGCCTGAGGGGCACGCTGGCCTCTGTTGGTTGTATCAGTTGGCTTCAGTACTATTGTTCACCTCTTTGCCATACAATCATAATGTGAAATCTTGAGGCAAACTGGCTTAGAGGAATTTTGATGCCTTAAACTCTCCTTTTCTTCTTCATAGCTTGCATTTGAGTCTTTGGCTGTGATTGGTAATGCTCTAACTCTCCTGGAAGTGGGTCAGATCGCAGTGTGCAGGTAATGTTGTCTTAAAGCTTTTTTACATTTTATTTATGTATATGGGTGTTTCCTTTGCTTTGTGTGTGTCTGTGCACTGCATTCATTCAATACCCTTGGAAACCAGAGGGGGTGTTGGATCCCCTGACCTGGAATTGCAGACAGTTGTGGTGGGTCCTCTGGAAGAGGTGCTCTTTAGCCTCTTAGCTGAACCCCTGAGCCAACTCTTCATCCCCCGGGGTTCCCTTTGGACTGGACTTCTTGTTTTGTTTTGAGACAGTTTCTCTGTGTAGCCCTGGCTGTCCTTAAACTGCCTCAAGTGCTGGGATTGAAGGTGTGCGCCACCACCCAACTCTAATGTTGTCTTTTAATCCCAGTGAAGAAATCCTGTTCCCAACCTTCATGACTGGAAAAACATCACATTATATCTGGTTTTCATTCCAGTTTTGGAGAGTCAGTAAAACTGTTGCATCCATTCCACGAGCAGTTTGGTGATTCTTCTGGGTCTCAAATTCTAAGGTTCTGCAAATTCCAACAAAGGAAGACTAAGATTGCTCAGGTACTCTGATGAAATCAAGATTCGTTTGCACACATTCTAAAGCTGGGATTGAAATGATGGCTCAGCAGTTAAGAGCACTGGCTGTTCTTCCGCAGGTCCTTGGTTCAATTCCCAGCAACCACATGGTATCTCACAGCCATGTATAGTGGGATCTCATGCCCTCTTCTGCCATAAAGGTGTACATTCAGATAGAGTACTTCCATGTATTTAAAATACAATTCTAACGCTGATGTTAAGAGACATTAATTTTTAGAATCCCCTGTCTGCTTTCTGGAATTAGGACAGGTAGCCTGACGTACACAGTACTAACCTCAACCTATATGCTACTAGAACAGTTTCCTTGACATCTTTTAACCAAGGTGTGATTCCTTCTTCTCAGTCCTCAACTGTGATATTACCACAGTTGAGTTTGAAACATTTGAACAAACAAGGTTATTGCTCAGTTCCTATTGATCTGCTGGATTTGGACTTAGGCTCTCTCCCATTAAGCCTAGAGACAAAATGATGGCAAGTTAAGCTAGGGATTTCCTGAGGAAGATGAAACAGTGGCCTCCCTCTGTTCTTAGTTCTTGCTGTCAAGCTGCCTTCTCTTTTGTTCAACAGGCTTATTTTCTTGAAAGAAGGAAACTGTTTCATTCATGGCTATTCATGTTATTGCCATCTTTCTTCCTGTGGAGTGTCTTATAGGGCACTAGTGGAGCGACTAGTCAGTAACTGTCTGTCTGTACTTCAGCATGCCAGTGCCTGGTGGTAAATGCTGCATAGTAAGAAGGCAGGCCGTATGTCAGAAGCCAGAAATCTCTCTAGTTAGGAGGGGTAGTATTAATCTGTGCTGGTTCTGTTTAGTTTCTAGAATCTGCAGCCAAGATGTTTGCAGCTGCCCAGAAGCTGTCACAGAACGTCGTTCCGGGTGAGCCACATTCTTCCCCTTTGCTAACAAATTGCTTCTCGTCTTTCTCTGCCCATCCCCATCTCATGAGTGAGTGTATATGTGTTCATGTACGAATGTAGATGCAGGTCTGTGTGTGCAAGCCCAAGGTTGACATTGGGAGTCTTCCTTGATCACTCTGCTTTGGAGTGAACTTGGAGTTCGCAGCTAAACTGGCCATCAGCCCCAGGTTTCCTCCCATTTCCCACTCTCCAACACTGGGATTGCAGGCATGCATTGTCACACCTGACTTTTATTTAGGCACTGGAAATCCTAAGTCAGGTCCATGGTTGCAGAGCAAACATTTTACCAGCTTTACCAGTTAAGACCCTCTAACTTCCCATCACCTTTTTAAAAATGTATTCTCTGTAGGAAAAACATAAAAGGATGGAATCAGTGATAGAGTTCTTTATTCATTATCCCGAAATTTATGCTGACCTCATTTTCAATGTTTAGATATACTGATAAAAGTGCTAGATACAAATTAGTGCATATTTATAGGATACATAAGTTCAGAGTTATAAGGGAATGGAGAAAGGTGTATGGAATTGAGTTCATGTAACCCTGGCTTGAAATACCCCAGTTATTTAGCCCTGGCTCTGACACAGAGATGGGTAAAGGAGAGGAAGTTAGAAACATGGAATTGGCAAAATCCGAGAAGCGATATATATGATATATATGACATTTGGAAGACATAATTCTAGTTCACTGACTTGATCACTTCTGATGGCCTGCTCATCTGTGGTCACTGGAGTCCATAAGCTTAAACACATGGTTGACAGAACAGCCTGTGAAGCCAACTCTCCTTCTATCTTGTAAGCCCCAAGGAATCAGTTTAAGTTGTCAGTTAGGTAGCAAATGCCTTACTCTGCTGAGCCTCCTGTTCCCACACTTTCTACTCTTGCAGAGAACGGAAGTTCAGTTCCAAGCACAAACTGCCTCTAACTCCAGTTCTAGAATAGATACCTTGTTCTGGCCTGTGTAGATGGTGTGTGGATGTGGTGCATTTATGTGCTGCAAAACACTCATAGAACATAAAAACAAACAGAATCTTTAGCCAAGCAGTGCTAGCGCACGCCTTTAATCCCAGCCCTCTGGAGACAGAGGCAGGCTGATTGATCTCTTTGAGTTTGAGGCCTACCTACCTGATCTATAGAACTAGTTCCAGGGCACCCTGTGGGGGAGGGGGAGTCACAATTGAAGTTGATCTAAATTTGACCTTCCCTGAAGCACGGCTATACTGATCAATTGAGTGTCTTGTCTCTCCTGAGTAATAGGTCTGGCCATAGGCCTCTCCTGTGGCAGCTCCAGGGATCTGTTTGGCTTTAGAGGGCCCACAGATGGTTTTCAATTGTCAAACAAGTTTTGCTTTTTCCCTTGCTCCTCTAATGTACGGCTTCTACAGAGACTGCGCAGCTGCTCCTCATAGTTTCTGATGGACGAGGCCTTTTTCTCGAAGGCAAAGACAGAGTCCTGGCGGCAGTCCAGGCTGCCCAGAATGCCAATATCTTCGTCATTTTTGTTGTGTTGGATAATCCCAATTCACGGGTGAGTGATCGCCAAAAGCCATGATTCTATAGATAGCGCCCCCCCCCCCCTTGAATTTGCTCTGAAGTATAACTGCTGCTCCGCCATCTGGGGTGCTGTCGCTTTGTACACTTTTCTTCATTAAATTCACACAGTGAAGAACATCCTTCCCAACACAGAGACAATATAACATAGGTCATGCGTAGGAGAGCAGAGATTCCCAGACTCCTCTGGAGTGTGGTTTCCTTCCCTGTATATGAAAAGTAGGGCAGTTGTCAAAGCAGCTCCTTCAAATAGGGACCAGCCTTTCCCACCCTCCCAGCAGCTGGCACACTCAGGTCTGAAGGAGCATGTAGCCGCAGAGTGCACTGATCCTGGCTGTAGGGTCCGTGGGGACTCCTCCTTAGAACAGGGACAGTGTTGCTCTTATTTGTTCTTTTTCCTTGGATTGTTCCTTGTCCTAGAAGGGGAACTCAAAAAGAGCTGCCTTTTCATGAACATTTTGGAAATTTCTCTTATGTAGAAATTAAAAAATTGCCAGTGAGCTAGTCAAGGATGTGGTCTAATTTTCCTATTTATTTAAAAATGCCTTTTGTTAACAGGATTCTATCTTGGACATTAAAGTACCGATATTTAAAGGACCAGGAGAGATGCCTGAAATCCGATCTTACATGGAGGAGTTCCCATTTCCGTTTTACATCATTCTTCGAGACGTGAATGCACTTCCTGAGACCCTCAGTGACGCCCTGAGGCAATGGTTTGAGCTGGTGACAGCATCTGACTCATAGAGCAGAAACAGTCTGTAGTGGGGCTGTGTGATCACGACATCTTCCCCTGGTGCTCCATTTAGTCAGTTGTTTGTGAACTCAGTACTCCAATAGGACTTCATCTCGATCTGTCTTTTTTAAATGTATCCAGTGGTTATATAAAAATACTTATTGCACTATATGTTTGTATTTATTTACATCATAGCAGAGCTTAGCACAAGCTCTCGAACTCCCTGCTGTGCTAAGCACAGAAGGCTCACAAGCAGTGCCAGGGCTTGTAACTAGGGACCAGCTAGAGGTCACACTGCCCCTCTCTGGAGTCTGGCCACCTGCTTTCCTGTGGCAGTGGCCTTGACACCTTGAAGAAATGCTTCCAGGAGCTTGGGGCTGTATTCTCTACAGTCCTTTGCAGAAAAGACTAAAGGGAGCTACATTTTGGTCCCTGCCTTAAGTTCTACATATAATCACTTGGTTGGGCACTTGTTATCCTGCTCAGAAAGCAGCAAACGGTGCAGGGATGTTCTCAGAGCAACCAGCAAAGTTCTAGCAAAGATGATCATAGAGCTGTGTGAAAAACAAAGCAGCTGTGTGCTCTTCACAGTGGCTGCTCGGGAGACCATGCAGTAGTGGAGAGCGGCTCTCCATTCTCATTCTGACTGCTGGAATGTGTTTCTGTAGCCACCTTTCCCAATGTCAGGAGGAAGAACTCTTCCTCCTACTGCTTTCAAGCTACCCTGAGCCAGTCTCACCGTGGAGAGGAGTAACGAATGCCATATCCACAAGAGCTAAACAGCTCCGTCTTCCCCGCGCTCACACACAACACAGTAACGTTGGCTTTTGTTTGCTTGGGGGTGGGGGCAGTTTTACTTGGCCAGAAAGCAGTGTTTTTGAATACTTGAAATCATGTGCTGTACTCTGTTTAAATGTTGTTTGTGGACATTGTGCTGTGCGTCTGTCTCCATGTCTGTCTGCAGGCTACACTGAAGTGTGCTACCTTTATGTGGTGGTCATCAAAGACAGATTGCTCTTTAACTAAGTGTCCTGAAGCATGTACTTAAAGTTATATTATTTTTATTCGAAAACGCTATGCAGCTTATATTCTGAAAACTATTAAAAATTATTGAGTTAATCTTTGTTTGTTCTTTTTTTTAAAACTTTTATTGATTCTTTAGGATTCACATATATCCCCATCTCACCCATCCCCCCACCCTCCCTCTGTTCTAGAACCCCCCCCCCCCAACAAAACAGAATTTAAAATAAAAGAGAAGCAAAACTGTGGGGACACCAGACCTTGGCCAGAGACCCACTTCCCCATCAGCCTGGGAGTAGGCAGCTGTGAGACAATGTTTACTAAAAACATGTTTACTAAAAACAATACAATGCTCGGGGCAATAAGTTCCTGAAAAGGGCTGGCCCACGGGAAATGCCCTGACCTCCACCTTTTCCAAAGACTAACACCTCTTCTGACACACCCAAGTCAGTTTCTGGTGTCAGAGCAGAACCAGCCAGGGATAAGGAGAGAGCAGAAGCTTTTCTGGAGGGAGGCCTTTCTTGGGAAGTTTTCTTGAGCCTTTTGGGGGCCTGCTTCAAGTTTTCTTTACATCGTTGACTGGTCTCTGTGTTGTCAATCCCCGACACCCTCCGCACATTCTCGGACACAGGCTGCACAGCGGGCTCGGCACAAAAGAAGAAGAACCACCTCATCGTTGCAAGTGTCATAGCTCTGGAGGGAAAAGCATCCTGACCTGTTGGAAGTCAGAGTATGTATGCCTGAAGCTGTGAGGGGAGGCGCCATGGGTACCTACAGCTGTGACTTGTCCGGAAGTCAGGCTGTACCTACAGCTGTGATAGGAGGTATCTTGGATACTTAACAATTGTGAGGAGAAAGGTACCCTGAGATGTTGGGAATCAGGCTATACCTGAAGCTGGGGTGCCATGGGGGAATGGTCTCCCCGCAGAATGTAGCAATCCTGCTCCTCTTGGGCTTTACAACTGAGCTCTGCACCACCACCACTGCCCCCCTTTAAGGGGCTTCCCAGTAGAGGTATCCGTTATCCGTTTCTCCTCAGCTCTGACCTGGGATGCTACTTCTGCTTCACTCTGCTAAAGGGAAACTCCTGCAGGAATGTAGCCATCTCCTGTGGCTCCAGTGACAAGTTGTCCTGCTAAGGGAATGTCTCAGCAAAGGTTCTGCTGGTGAAAGATCTTCACCCAGAACTCTTAGGAAATTTATTTGGGAAGGAGAGGTCCAGGAGAGAGGCAGCCTCTGCCAGCGTGGGAAAGGACAGCCGGTAACTGAGCAGAGGGACATGTATAGGGCCAGCTCCACTGTCTTGCCCAGGCAAGATGCGGTGCCCTCTCCCAGCTGCACCATCACCAACAGGGTCAGCTCTAGTATACTACCCAGGCTGGCTGCAGGGCCCAATTTCCCAGGGCTAGTTCTCCAACTCTAGTGATCACAGGGCCAGTTCTTTTGCCCGCCACAGGTAGCAAAGTAATGGGGGGACCTTCCCCCACCCATACCACCACATGGCAGATGGGGAGGGGACGGTCCTCCTGATGACAGAGTCAGCTTTAGTGTGCTGTCCGGGTAAGGGTCACACCCATGATGAGAGGTGAGCCATCTTTCCTGAGCAGGGGTGGGGGGAGCTTTCCTGCTGCAGTATTCAGCTACATTGTTCATTCTTAATGGAGCATGAGGAGTATTGCAGGAATGTAAAGAGTGGGACTTGATCCTGTCTGCCAATCAGATCATGGATTTGCTCCCAAACTGACTCAGTGCAATAAACACAGGAACCTTGTACCTAAGCCTGCCACCTGACTGTTATGGGACTTTGTGGTGGTTTGAAAGAAAATGTGCTCCCTCCCCCAAGGTGTAGCACTATTAGGAGGTGTGGCCTTATTGGAGGAAGTGTGTCCCTGTGGGGGTGGACTTTGCGGTTTCCTATGCTCAGCAGTGAGTCAGTCAACTTCCTGTTACCTGCAAGATGTAGCACTCTCAGCTCCAGCACGGTCGCCTTGCCCCCTGCAGTGATGAGACTGGACTGAGCCAACTGAGCCGCTAAATGTTTTCTTTAGAAGAGCTGCATGGGGCCTGGAGAGATGGCTCAGTGATTAAGAGCACTGGTTGCTCCCCCAGAGGTTCTGAGTTCAGTTCACAGCAACCACACGATGGCTCACAACCATCAATAATGAGATCTGGTGCCCGTTTCTCACATAAAGTTGTATATGCAGATAGAGCACTCATACACATAAATACATAAATCTTTAAAAAAAAAGTTGCCATGGTCGCCGGACGTTGGTGGCACACGCACGCCTTTAATCCCAGCACTCGGGAGGCAGAGCAGGTGGATCTCTGTGAGTTCAAGGCCAGTCTGGTCTACCTAGCGAGTTACAGGACAAGCTCCAAAGCAATACAGAGAAACCCTGTCTCCAAAAACCAAAAAAAAAAAAAAAGAGTTGCCATGGCCTCTTCACAGCAACAGAACATCCTAACTGAGACAGACCTGAAAGGTAGTTGAGGTGGCCATGCTTTTACCCTGACGGTGAGGTAATTACTTGATACTGTAAAAAGTTCCCAAGAGAGTTTTAAATAATGAAAGACAGACACTGTGCCACAGGGCCAGTCAGCACACCAGGCTAAAGCATGGACACCATCTAAACACCGAGTGACAGGTGCCATTTCAGTGGATCCTCCATAGCCAGGTCAAGGAAACAATAGTGCCTGAGAAGGAAGAAGCCCAGGCAGTGAAAGCCCACCCAAGGCAACCTCACCTTCCAGAGACCATGGGACCAGCTCTCCAGCCCCGCTCTGGCTGTACAGCTGGTACACACAGAAGAAATCCAACAAGTGGCATGGAAGTGAGGATCATGATGCCCCTTCTCCCCTTGGACTCCTGGTAATATTGGCCATAATGTTTCCTGTGGGGCTAGCCCCAATGACTGTATCTAAAAGTAATAGTTATTTAAAAATGACATCTGGTTTATTTATTGAGTTATCCCTAACTATGCGTCCAAATATCAGTTGAGCCTTAGATTTTCCATTAAAATGTCAGCCTGGTTCCATGGCTGACACCTTACAGGCCCCATGGTTCTCCTCTGAGGTCTAGTGATGGTGAGGAACTAGTGGCCTTTCGTATAAATTAAAGATTCAAATGTAACTAAAAGAAATGAGGAATGCCAGGCTGGAGAGATGGCTCAGAAATGCTCTTCCAAAGGTCCTGCGTTCAATTCCCAACAACTTCATGGTGGCTCACAACCATGAGGTCTGGTGCCCCCTTCTGGCATGCAGACATACATGCAGGCAGAATACCGTATGCATAATAAATCTTAAAAAAAAAAAAAGAAATGAGGAATGGTGTGACTAAGGTACTGCCTTCAACTGACTCCATTTTGTGTCTGCTCATGAAATTTTTCAGTTCCTTAACCCCTTAAACAGTACAGGGCTTTCCATGGCTCAGATACATAACCAAAATATCTACTGGTTGTATAGTCAAAACAAATGTGACCAGGTTCCCCTAACCTACACCTGACAATGATGTCATTGTGATTTTTTTCTTTAAAACTGCTATAACCTGAGCTTTGGTGCTGAGTGACACTGCATTGACCTAAGTTTTCGTATCCAAAATATAAATCTTTGAGTCAGGAAATATATGTCCACACGACAATGCTGCCTGTGGCTAGCATGATTTTTGTTTTTGTTGTTGTTGTTTGTTTTTCGAGACAGGGTTTCTCTGTATTGTTTTGGAGGCTGCCCTGGAACTTGCTCTGTAGTCCAGGCTGGCCTCGAACTCACAGAGATCTGCCTGCCTCTGCCTCCTGAGTGCTGGGATTTAAGGCGTGCGCCACCAACATCCAGCTATTTATTTATTTATTGTAGTGGAAAAGTGTTGGGAGCAATCGTTGTTATTTAAAACCTCTGGTAAATATTGTCAGTCTTTTTAAGAATAGTCTGTCTCCTCCCCAGCTTCCTAATGAATAGAACCTGGGCTCACAGGAAAAGCTGATAGTAATCTACAGTTAGGTTACTCAACCCTCCTCCTTGCAATTAGACTACTTCACACTAAAACCTCTTCCTGCTGCTCAGCCTCAGTGGTGGTCTGTCAACACCCCTCACATGTGACCAAAAACACTCCTGGGTACGTGACCAAGAACACTCCTCAGCCGATTACTAGGCACCGACCCCTCCCTTATTGTCCTGCATCCCCCTACTTCATTTCCCCTATTTAAGCCTGTACAGAATTTTCTTAAACAGCAGCCAACTTGTCCTGCTGTCCATCTCCCTCTTGTCTCTTGTCTCATTCATTCCAGGTTCCTGTGGCTCGAACCCATTGTGCCTTGCTGGTTGGGCAGAAAAGAATGTACAAAGTACCTGTTCTTTGTGCCCAATGTATAGGCCCAGCACTAGTTCAGAATTCCAATAACTATCCCCAGGTAATGTGGAGAGAAACAACTCAGTACCCACCCCAAGGGTCATAGAGAACAATAATAAAATATTATAATAAGAAACTACTGGGCCAGACAGTGGGTGTCCAAGGACTTCAAATTCCACCAATCCCTTAACTCCCCCAGAATCAGACCACAAAAACTCACCAATTCAGGACCCCCCCCCAAGAAACCCTATATAATCTCTGTATTCTGTCCAGTTGTTGCTTCTCATTTTAGAGGCACCACCCTTCTGGATTTTTCTCTCCCAATAAATCTGGAGTGAGGCTTGTATAGTGTGACACTTCCACCAGAGCAGGGACGAGTTGTAACAACTTTTGAGGGAGCCAGAACAGAGCTGTAGCACTTTCATTGGGCAATGATTCCCCTAGCAGAGTAGAGCTATAACACTTTGATGGACCTGAGCCAAACTGTAAATCTACACTGGCCAGAGCGGAGCTGTTACACTTGCACTTGGGAAACCTTTCCCCGGAGCAGAGCTGCAAGGTTGACAATGACTTCGTGGTATTCCTTGGCTCCCAACTGCCAGGATACTGTCCATCACAGCTTCAGTGCTTACATCCCCCACGCCCAGCCACACACACACACAAGTGAAATGTATAGCATAATACTAGTGTAGGGTAAAGGAGCCAGCCAAAGAAATGCATCCTGATCCTGAAACCAGAGCTAATGAAAGAAACCTACTGACCCTGAAAGCACAGCAAGTGAAAGAAACATACTTTAGCCCAGAAACAAGAACCTAAGAAACACACCCTAACCCGAAACCAGAACCAAAGAAACACACTTTGGCTCTGGAACCAGAGCCAGTGAAAGAAACACACACTGGCCCTAACAGTGGAGCCAAAAGGCTAAAACGAGCCAGTGAAAGAAACACTTTGGCTCTAAAACCAGAGAGAAACCTGCCACTGACCGACTCAGTACAAAAATCAACCAATCCCTGAGCACGAAATCCAGCCCATCTCTGAGCTTGTCCAAACTCAGGGACTGAAATCCGATCAATTCCCACCCTAAAAATCTCCACCCACCCTGGCCGAGGTAGCTGCCCTCCTGGATTCTTCCCTCGGAATTAGTCTGATGAGGTTTAGGTGAGACCTTCTTTTGCCAGAATGTGAAGCAAAGAAGTAACAATTTTTCTCCAGTACCAGAGTGGAGCAGAGCAAGACTATGACACTTTCTTTCTTTGGAGGAAACCTTCCCCTAGCGAAACAGACACTGGGAAAACCTTCCCCTGGAGCAGGGCTGTAAGCTGCTGCGCTTACAGTGACTTTGTGGTATTCCTTGGCTCCTGACTCTCGGGATTCCTTTCCATTCCAGCCGCAATGCTTACAACTAGTTCAAGATTAAAACAAACCTGAACAGATTCAGACCTTAAAAGATCCTGTGGTCAAAAAGATTACTACAGTAGCTAGGGAAAGTTATTTAATGAATGATTCTGAATTTTTAGTCTAGTGGCGGGAAAATAACCTAGACCCATATTATGCCATAAATAAAAATAACTTTTAGATGGAGTAAATATATTTAAGGAAACCCGATCAGTACAATACAATTTTACAAGAGCTGTAAGAAGATGAAACTGTTAAGTCTCAAAGGAAACAAACACGTCAATGTAGAGTTAAAACTGTATTTATAAAGAACTTTTCCGAGAGCCACTGGTATGCTCAGACAGACACTGAAGGCGCTTGCCACTAACCCTGATTCTAGCTTGATCCTAAAGCTCCCACAACAGAGAAGATCTGAAAAAGCAAGCGGGGTTAAGCTTCCCTCGTAATGCCTGTGAGGTAAACCCTGAGAAAATTAGAGGTGTGTGCATCCGGGGCTGTTTTGAGCAGTTACATATGATGCACTGCGGGGGGTGTGGTGTGGGGGACAGAACAGGCCAGAGGCCGCATGAGTAGGGCAAGTTCGCGGAGCTGCAACGATCCCGGTGACTAGAGGGTCAGATTAAAACAAAAGCTTGCGGCACGCAAATTGAAATTACTAGTTTAAATGTCGGTCTCTTCAGTTACGCACATCAAGGGTGCTCAACAGGCGCACGAGTTCTCCCTTCCGGTAAACCGCTTAAGCAGCTCCTAGGTGACAGGTTCCTTCGGGCGCTCCGGGAGGGTAAGACCCTCCAGCAAAAACGCAAAACTAGGGCGTCCGTCTCCTAGCAACATGGCTCGCGTGCCGCCTACTTCCGCTTCCGCGTTCCCGTCATCCCCAGGCCCCACTCCCGCTCTTGCGCACCAAGCGGCTGCCGCCCCAGGCGTCATGGCGTCCTCGCGCTTGCCTCCCACGGTGCTGACGCTGAAGCAGGTACCCGCGGTGCTCCAGCCCCCGGGGCCCCGGAGCAGTCGGCGTGGCTCGGCCCGCGTGGGGTTGTGGTCTTTGGGTCTCTGTGTCCCCGCAGCCACCGCGGGCCTCGGCTTGCGGCGCCGCTTCCCGCGGCGGGGTGACAGGCGTGCGTGACCCGGGCGGGCCGCTCGTCTGCTTCCGCTCGAGGACCAGAGGGACGTTTCTGGTTGTTTGCAGAGGGGGACCGGCGGGTGTGTCTTTGTAATTGGCGTTTCTCCTTCCCCGGGCAGTTCATGAGACGGCAGCAAGTTCTCCTCCTCTACAGGAAGATCCTGCGAGCCATCAGGCAAGTTCCGAGCGATTCCGACCGGAAGTACCTCCAGGACTGGGCCAGGGAAGAATTCAAAAGAAACAAAAGTGCCACGGAAGAGGTGAGAGCGAGACCACAGCGAGGCCGCGGCCCCTTTGCCCTGTTGTGTTTAGCGAAATAAGCCCCTAGGGTGATTCGTTTTGATCACTGCGGAAGTCCCCCTGGCATTTTAAAGTGGCTTGCACTTCCCACTGTTGGTTCTTGGAGGTAGCAGATGAAGTAATAGAACTGGGCCATGGTTAACCTGGTAAAACAATGACTGGATTCCCCTTTCTTCCACAGGATACGATACGAATGATGATTACTCAAGGCAATATGCAGCTAAAGGAATTAGAAAGGACTCTTGCGTTAGCAAAATCTTAATGGAAAGACTTTCAGATCTCCATGCATTTTGCACAGGCCGAAAGCCACTGCCACAAATCCCCAGTGGCGCATGAAAAGCTGATCATGCTCATCAAGAATGCAAATCAAGGGGTTAACATTTCCACTTCAGTGGCTGCAATTAAAGGCGCACGCCTTTAATCCCAGCACTCGGGAGGCAGAGGCAGGAGGATCTCTGTGAGTTCGAAGCCGGCCTGGTCTACAGAGCCAGTTCCAGGACAGCCTCCAAAGCTATACAGAGAAACCCTGTCTTGAAAAACAAAAAAAAAGTGAACTAAGGTGACCACGGGAGCTTGGAAGCATACATGCTCGGGAGAGGGTAAACTACCAGCAGCCACTTTGGAAAACAGACCATTAGTTCTTGAAAAGGTAAAGGTAACACGATGCAGTTGCTGACATGGCTCCAAGGTTAAGGCTTTTGCTGGCAGGAACCTGAGTTTCACCCCTGGGACCCACATGGTGGAAGGAGGAAACCACTTCAGAAAGTTGTCTTCTGACCTCCACACGGGCACTGTGGCACATAAGAGAGAGAGAGAATATAATTTAAATAAAAGGTGACAGTTACCTCATACTTCAAGTCTCAGCTTTCACCAAGAGAACTGGAGCATGTCTATAAAAGTGTATACGGAGTTCACCGGTTTTGGTTTTGGAAACAGAGTTTCTCTTTGTAGACCAGGCTGGCCTCAAACACAGAGACCCACAGCCTCTGCCTCTTGAGTGCGCAGATTAACGGCGCGTGCCACCACAACCGAATGAATTCGGTGTTCTTCATGATAACCAGATACTGGATTTAGAATATCCATTAACAGGTACTTGGGTATATAAAATGTAGCGTGTTCTACAATAAAGTATTATTTTGCAGTAAGGGTGCAGAGCTGCTCCGTGCTCCGTGGTGACCTTGATTATGTAAGAGGAGCTGACAATAAAAGAGCCCCGGCCTCCGCTGCAGTGGGTATTCCTTAGGACCGGGGAAAGGGCAGTGTTCAGTGAACAGGCCGTGCTGCTTGGAGGGATGTGGAGAGTAACCGCGGGATGGCTCTACAACTCTGAACATTCTAAGGATGTGCTGACGTCCATTTGAGTGAGGGAATGTGATAAGTTCACAGACAGCCTTACTGTAAAACTGGGGTATGAGGTGTAATTGACAAGAGTAGAGTTCTCCATTTGCCAAAGGAAACATTCTAATGAAAATGTTTACACATTGTCCAAATTTTATATCAGTTAGAGCCAGCTCTGCAGTTCTCATGCTTTGAAGGTAAGTAAGGGTTACAGTCCGGAGACTAAATGTTTTGGCTTGACATAGGAGAGCTTTGTGCTGTTTTCAATAAACAGTTTAATGACAAGATGCAGAGTATGTGTGGATTTTACTGTGCCACCTTTAGACTGTAAGTGTAAGGTATGTTGTGACCTCCCTATCTCAAACCCCCCCCCAAAAAAACAACCCCATATAGGACTGGCAGTATACTAACTCTAGGAGATGCTCTAGAACAATGGTTCTCAACCTGAATGACCTTTGCACAGGGTCACATACCAGATACTTACATTACAGTTCACAACAGTAGCAAAATTACAGTTATGCAGTAAAAATAACTATGGTTGAGGTCACCACAACATGAGGGACTGTGTTACAGGGTCACAGCATTAGAAAGGTTGAGAACCACTAATCTAAGACCTGGAAATCTGCTTTGCCCTTCAGAATTGTGAAGTTACTTTCAGTTGTGTTACAGTTTCATGACCAAAGAACTAATACCTCACAGAGCATCTGAAGCTTGTTGGAAATAAAAGAGAACATTGAAACTCCAAAATGAGGAGGGAAGACTGGGCAATTCTTCATCTTCTGCGCCTAACATCCTTGTGAACACTGAATCATCAAGAAAGATGATACATAGTGCTCTTGAGAAAAGAAATACATCACAGAGTTGACATCAGGATAAAATTATGCACAATTTAGCAAACTTGAAGATTCTTAAGTGATCATGTGAGCAGAAGCCCATGCCATCAACAGAACACAGATGGCAGACGGGGAACCTGACTAGTGTCCTGTACTGGATGCCTGGAAAGACAGTGTAGCCTGAGCACAGCGCCACCTCCTGGAGCCCTCGGGTCCCATGCACATCTTCATGAGAGTGATCTGATTCATAAGCCATTTTTGTTTTTCAAATGTACAGCCTATGCAAAAATACATGACAAGCATTTGTGGGCAATTTGGGTTTTTGTTTTTGAAACCAGGTCTCCTAATCCTTCCTCCTCCACCTTCCAAGTGTCTGAATTGTAGATGTGAGTCACCATGCTTTCTATGAGAAGTCTTGGAGAGGACTTTCGGTAGTTCCCTGTGTGGTCTGATTGACATTCACATTCAGATAGAGACTGAGTAGGTTTAAAATCTTGGAACTAAGCAATGATGAGATGTGGGTGGTGATGATGGTCTTCTAAAAGCACAGTTGTCAAGAGATTAAGGCCAACCATGAACTCAGATCCCCCTGCCTCTGCCAAGTGCCAGGTGTGTGCACCTACACCCTGCACCATTATTTCTAAAGCAGGTAAAACACTTGGGATTGTTTCCAAAGGGAAAAGTTAATGCAACGCTCAGCTTTCCCCTCATCCCTGAGGTCAGGTCTGCTTTGCTCACTCAGGTGCTTTGATTAACCTCTCTGGTTTAGAGGCCAAGTCTTGTTTGGCCTCTTTTTTTTAATGATTTAAATGCATTGATGTTTTGCCTGCATGCTGTGTCTGTGTGTGAGGGCATGGATTCATAGGTGCTGGAGTTGTAGACGGTTAGGAGCTATCAGGTGGTCATGAGGGTGCTGGGAATTGAACCTGGGTCACGAGGTACTTCTTTCTTTCTCTTTTTTTTTTTCTTTTTTGAGACAGGGTTTCTGTGCGTAGCCCTAGCTGTTCTGAAACTTGCTTTGTACGTCAGTCTGACATTGGCCTTATAGAGATCAAACTACCTCTGCCTCTCGAGTGCTGGGCTTACAGGCGTGTGCCACCACCGCCCAGCTTCACAAGAAGGTTCTTTCAGCAATGTTTTTCTTGAATACAGGATGAGTCAAGATGTTGGCCAGATGGCACTGCTGGTGAGGTTTTTTTTTTTTTTAAGATTTTTATTTATTTATTATGTATACAGTGTTCTGTCTGCATGTATGCCTGCAGGTCAGAAGAGGGCACCAGATCTCATGACAGATGGCTAGGAGCCACCATGTGGTTTCTGGGAATTGAACTCAGGACCTCTGGATGAGTAGTCAGTGCTCTTAACCTCTGAGCCATCTCTCCAGCCCTGCTGGTGAGGTTTTACTAACCATGAATCTAGTTTATCTGGATGCAGGATTGTACAACCTGTTATCTGTTCTGAATGTCTCCTGTAAAGTTATCTGTTTGAAACATCAAACTCAAACTTGTTCCTAGAATTTAACTTTAAGATGTTGTAATAATGGGCTTTATGCATGTGAACCAACAACAATCCTGCTGTAAAGGCACGCCTTTAGTCCCAGCAATCAGGATGCAGAGGCAGGCAGGCCTCTTGAGTTCTAGGCCAGCCAGATCTATATAGTTGAAACCCTGCCTCAAAAGAGAGATTAGCAAATGGAAGAAAGATTCTACACAAAAGCATTGTAACAGATGGGTGGCTAAAGCCAGTTTATAGCATCTTGCCCTTTATCATTTCCCAGCAGGTGCACATTTCAGATCCCTGGCACAGCACTGCTGAGGGCGTGCCCATACAGTTTGCTGCTGCTCACTGAGAAAGCAGAAGCCTGAACATTGTGACACAGACAAGGATAGCTAAGGAAAAGGCCATTCAGAGGCAGCCACACCTGCCTTGGAAAAGGAAAGGGATTATATAGAATCAGGCACAAAGAGATTAAAGAAAAAAAGTCATTTTAACAATCCAGAAATTACAAGATTTTAAGGAATTATATTCACATTAAATGTTGAGAGATGGTTCAACAGTTAAGGGCATACTACTTTTTAAAAATTATTTATGTATACAGTGTTCTGCCTGCATGTGTGCCTGCAGGCCAGAAGAATGCATCAAATCTCATTACAGGTGGTTATGAGCCATCATGTGGTTGCTGGAAATTGAACTCAGGACCTCTGGAAGAGCAACCAGTGCTCTTAACCGCTGAGTTATCTTTCTGGCGCCACATACTATTTTTTTTTTCTTGATTTTTCGAGACAGGGTTTCTCTGTGGTGGTGGAGGCTGTCCTGGAACTCGCTCTTGTAGACCAGGCTGGTCTTGAACTCACAGAGATCTGCCTGCCTCTGCCTCCCGAGTGCTGGGATTAAAGGTGTGTGCCACCAATGCCTGGCCACATACTACTCTTGAAGAGGACCAGAGTTCAGGTCCCAGTACTCACACGGGCAGCTCAGGGCTGCTTGTTATTCCAGTTCCAGGGGATCCAATGCCAAGCAGGCACCTGAACTCATATTCTCCCCCCACTCTCTCTCTCTCTCTCTCTCTCTCTCTCTCTCTCTCTCTCTCTCTCTCTCTCTCTCTCTCTCTCTCTCTCTCTGTCCCTCCCTTCGTCCCTCCTTCCCCCCTCTCTCTGTCACACACACACTTTTTTTGTTTTGTTTTTGTTTTACGAGACAGGGTTTCTCTGTATTGTTTTGGAGGCTGTCAGTCCAGCCTGGCCTCGAACTCACAGAGATCCGCCTGCCTCTGCCTCCTGAGTGCTGGGATTAAAGGCGTGTGCCACCACCACCCGGCACACACACACACATTTAAAATAAGCCTTTTTGATTATTATCATTTGTGTTTACTGAAAATCATTTTATTCTTGTATTTCTTAAGAGGTGCTATCACGTCTTGTACCTTGTGGAGTTAATATGCTTACATTAACAACATTAAAGGGTTTCCCACAGACACAGATTGCACCCAATTTGTGCTGATGCAAGACAATCTGATGTAGACGTTAAGCTAGATGCATTTGCTCTAAAGCAAAGTGGCTGTGTACAGGCTCTTACAGGAACTCTTGAGTGCAGTTAGCAGACCAAATGACTGAAAATAAGGAGTACCAACAACTGAAAGCAGGGTTTAATGTTTACAGGAACTCTTGAGTGCAGTTAGCAGACCAAATGACTGAAAATAAGGAGTACCAACAACTGAAAGCAGGGTTTAATGTTTACAGGAACTCTTGAGTGCAGTTAGCAGACCAAATGACTGAAAATAAGGAGTACCAACAACTGAAAGCAGGGTTTAATGTTTACAGGAACTCTTGAGTGCAGTTAGCAGACCAAATGACTGAAAATAAGGAGTACCAACAACTGAAAGCAGGGTTTAATGTTTACAGGAACTCTTGAGTGCAGTTAGCAGACCAAATGACTGAAAATAAGGAGTACCAACAACTGAAAGCAGGGTTTAATGTTTACAGGAACTCTTGAGTGCAGTTAGCAGACCAAATGACTGAAAATAAGGAGTACCAACAACTGAAAGCAGGGTTTAATGTTTACAGGAACTCTTGAGTGCAGTTAGCAGACCAAATGACTGAAAATAAGGAGTACCAACAACTGAAAGCAGGGTTTAATGTTTACAGGAACTCTTGAGTGCAGTTAGCAGACCAAATGACTGAAAATAAGGAGTACCAACAACTGAAAGCAGGGTTTAATGTTTACAGGAACTCTTGAGTGCAGTTAGCAGACCAAATGACTGAAAATAAGGAGTACCAACAACTGAAAGCAGGGTTTAATGTTTACAGGAACTCTTGAGTGCAGTTAGCAGACCAAATGACTGAAAATAAGGAGTACCAACAACTGAAAGCAGGGTTTAATGTTTACAGGAACTCTTGAGTGCAGTTAGCAGACCAAATGACTGAAAATAAGGAGTACCAACAACTGAAAGCAGGGTTTAATGTTTACAGGAACTCTTGAGTGCAGTTAGCAGACCAAATGACTGAAAATAAGGAGTACCAACAACTGAAAGCAGGGTTTAATGTTTACAGGAACTCTTGAGTGCAGTTAGCAGACCAAATGACTGAAAATAAGGAGTACCAACAACTGAAAGCAGGGTTTAATGTTTACAGGAACTCTTGAGTGCAGTTAGCAGACCAAATGACTGAAAATAAGGAGTACCAACAACTGAAAGCAGGGTTTAATGTTTACAGGAACTCTTGAGTGCAGTTAGCAGACCAAATGACTGAAAATAAGGAGTACCAACAACTGAAAGCAGGGTTTAATGTTTACAGGAACTCTTGAGTGCAGTTAGCAGACCAAATGACTGAAAATAAGGAGTACCAACAACTGAAAGCAGGGTTTAATGTTTACAGGAACTCTTGAGTGCAGTTAGCAGACCAAATGACTGAAAATAAGGAGTACCAACAACTGAAAGCAGGGTTTAATGTTTAC